TTCCCACTTCCCCACGTTCTATAGCATTAACCCCCACTCGCATTACGGTTGGTCATGGCCACGTTTGCTGTTGGACGGTTTTCATCTATCTCGCGGCCATTTATTTGGCTAAGTATAGTGGGGGTCGACGTCGTTAGCCTCATAATGGTAGACGGCCCATGTGAGCGTAGAGGGCCCCCAAGGGGTCGACGTCCTGGGGGGGCGTGCGTTAAGTAACGATCTCCGAGGAAAATTGTTAATACCATCTTATATCACATGTTGATCGTCCATATAAAACTTTGTCAATTGTCACATGTTAACTATTAAGATTTAAGCTAATGAAGCATAATTCGAAATTATTTATCACGTTGAACTAGATAAAATTTAACCCTTCGAGTCTTATTTTTTGAAAATAAATTTTGTAAGAGGTGAATATTTCTATATAATGTATGATTAAAAATTAGTCTAGGAAAAAAATAAATTTTAGGAATGAGGATCAAATTTGGCCGATATTAAAGAATTGTGAGTGAAATTGATTTTTTTTTTTTTTGTATACATACTTCACATCGATAAAACTAAAATGAACCGGCTTATAATTCAACTTCTTAATAGGGACGAAAATAGCACGCATGGATTGAAACTTTGAATACAATTCCAAAACAAACCCATAAACCAGTGAAAACAAGATGATTGAACCTTCAATGCCATGAAATTGACCAAGATCAAATGGTGGGGCACTTAGGCGACGGCGAGGTAGCCGAAGAGGTTGGGACTGGGAGGGTTTGACACCGAGTTGTTATTTCAAATGATATTTCACTTTGTATTCGGTGCCTTTTGTGTATTCGAATTCTAAGAAATATAACATTATTTGTCATAATGATAATGGTGCATCGACTTATATAGCAGCACGGTAAAAATTAAATAATATATTCAATTAAGTATAGGGACATGACACACATATTATTGATATCATTCAATGCCATTTAAATACGATAATTCATTATCATGATGACCAAAAAAATCAATCTTATGAAAATGAGTTTAAACTTATAGTTCATATTCAAAAGGGGTTAATTTTACAAATGGTCACTGAATTTATAGCAAAATTTTGAAAATGGTCACTGAAGTTCCAAACTTGCATAAACGNAAGGCCCTTTTTGTATTTTATCAAATGTATTCTAATTTCATTTGCCGGAGTGAGCAGAGACAAAAATGATGAATTGTAGACAGAACGGTGGAGGGGGCAAAGGAAGGTATACAGTGCGGGGGCATCCACTGCCTTTTTCTGTGGTCCACTTTTCTTTTCGTTGACGCGTTACATCATCATTAGATTTCCCATTGTTCATAATGATGGCATCCCAAAAAAGGAAAAAGAGTGGATTTAAAAATATTATTATATTTTTTTAGAAATCCAAATTCACGTAAATAAGGAGGATTATTACATGTTGATCGTCCATATAAAACTTTGTCAATTGTCACATGTTAACTATTAAGATCTAAGCTAATGAAGCATAATTCAAAATTATTTATCACGTTGAACTGGATAAAATTTAACCCATGTTCGAGTCTTATTTTTTGAAAATAAATTTTGTAAGAAGTGAATATTTCTATAAGAAATAATGTATGATTAAAAATTAGTTTAGGAAAAAATAAATTTTAGGAATGAGGTTCAAATCTGGCCGATATTAAAGAATTGTGAGTGAAATTGATTTTTTTTTTTTTT